AAAATAGTCTACGACCTTTGCTCCTCCTTCTTCAGGCCCCGCTTGCAGCGGCAGTCATAAAGCGGACTCCCCTGCAGGACCTCCAGGGCCGCCTGGCACTCCTTGTTGGCCAGCACGGTGCTGCGATCGCGGCCTGCCAGGCACTGCCGCCGCGTGTGGTAACGGGAGCTGCAGGTGGATTCGGCCACACACAGTTCATTGGCCCAGACACAGTCCACCGGGGGGCGCCAGCCGTGGAGCTCGGGGCCCTGCAGGGAGGAAGGGCTGTCCAAAGAGCGGAGGGTCTCGTCTGGGTGGTGGGGAGGGAAGACAAGCATCAATGAGGACCCCAGAGGCCGGCCCAGGGACGGGGGCCCTTCTGGGAACTTCACGCCCATTTTACACCAAAGCACATCAAGGCCAACATAGTGGAACAGTCCTCCTGAAACCCAACGAGAACTCAGCCGTCGTTCTCCCCTGGCTCCACCAGGGTGGCTTCCTCCTTGGCACCGGCACTGGGGCTAGGAGCACAGCACAGGAAAGCCAAGAAGTCCCTCGCTTGGGACTACAGACAGTCTAAGACACCAGGAGTCCAGAGAAGAATGTCACAGCCTCAGCACAGAGCTGGGAGCTGCAGGGCTTGCTGGGGTGCAGAGGTGGGCTCTCAGATCAACACCACCCCAGGCCTCCTGCAAACCCCACACCAGCCAGAGGCCCATCCAAGGTGCTGCGTGAAGCCGTGAAAGCAGCAGGAAGTCACTGAACTTGCACAGTCTGTTAGGACCTTAGAGAGACACGCAGTCTGGCCCCCACATTCTACCCTTGGGAGACTGAGGCCCAGAGAACAGAGATGACAACTCAAGATCACCCACAGAAGCAGAAAAGCCCCTCCGACCCCTACTCTACTCATTCTGAGTTGCTAGACTGTAAGAGAAGACAGGGAGAGAGAAGCCGAGCTCTACGGTGCAGGCGTGCCCAGCAGGCAGGGGCTGCCCCATTCCCTTCCAGCCCAGCCCGACTCTGCACCAGATGGAGACCTGAGCTCTGCCTTCCATGGGCCAAGTTCCACCCCAGCTCTCCCAGAAGCAAGTGCTTTAGGCACGTCTGTAGAGCAAGTCCCGTTCCTCCCCCGGGCCTGCCTCTCCTGTCCCTGCCTCTCACACCACTCCTGCCACCTCACAGGGGGTGTGATTCTCCACCACCTTTCATCCGTTCTCCTTGACGGTCTCTCTCTCCTCCTCTCTCTTTCTCATTTTCTTTTCCTCTCCTCCCCTCCCATCTCCTGAAACCCTCTCTCCTCGCCTCTCTTTCTTTTCCCCAGACCTCCTTCGGACTCTGGCCTGGAAGACCGACCCTGGCTTCTCTGCAGATGAGCAAGCAGCCGTCAGCCAGCCCTCTCCATCCTATGCCCCTGGTGTCCACACCCATGGGGCTTCAGAAGGGAGGGCACTGGGGGAGAAGATCATACAGACGTGAAGGCAGGGAGAGGCCAGCCTGATGCCTTCAAGGCCAAGCTCCCAAAATGGTTTCTTCCAGACATAGACATCCTCTTCCCAGCCACCCTGTCCTCTCCTAAGGCCCTGATTCCATGTCCTGCCGCAGAAAAAGCCCATCCCATGTCCCAGAGCCATGACTGCTTTTTCTAAGATGCAAATAGTGACTTGGGGGACTTCCTCCACTCCGTCCCACCCCAAAGCATAATAAAATCGTAGGCCACAAGCCTCCCCCTCAGAAGACCGCAGAATCCCCTTGTCCTACCCAGAAGGGCCACTCCTTCCCTCAGGAGGCCCTGCTCAGGGGGGAGCTACTGCAGGGGGACAGCGACACCTAGAGGCAGAGCGCAGCACCGCAAGCCTGTCCCTCCCCAGAGCCCCAAGGGAAAAGGAACCCAGGCCACAAGGAGACCACATGGAGAGAGTGCTGGGTGGGCCTGGGATGGAGAAGAACTCAGGGCCACAGCAAAAGACCTTTCCTTCTCTCGGTGACCAGACCTCTGCCCCAGAACAAGCAGAGCTAAAGGCTGTGGCCAGACTGAACAGCACCAGAGAAGAAACCGCAGAGAGTGGAGTGTGAGGCCCAGGCAGGGCAGCGGGGCATCTGCCCAAGCGCGGGCTGGAGAGGTG